TATCTAGTACACTGGGGTTTTTTTTCCAGTTTTATTGAGATACAATTGACGTGTTTATAAGTCTAATGCGTATGACATAATGATTCGATATTTGTATATATTGTGAAAGGATCACCACAATAAATCTAGTTAACGTCCACCAATATGCGTAGTTACAATTCTTTTCCTTGTGATGAGAACTTTTAAGATCTACTCTCTTAGCAACTTTCAACTATATAATACAGTATTGTTAACTGTAGTCACCATGCTGGACATCACATCCCCAGAATGTTTTTATCTTCTAAGTTTGTACCTTTTGACCACCTTCACCCGAGTCCCCCAGCCCTGACTCCCCATGCTGGCAACCACAGATCTTACCTCGGTTGCTATGGGTTTGGCTTTGTTCTGATTCTACTTGTAAGTGAGGTCATATCGTATTTGTCTTTCTTTAACTTAATTCACTTAGCATAATGCTCTCCAGGTACATCCTCAAAGAGTAGAATGCCCTTCTTTTTGATGGCTGAATAATATTCCATTGCAGATATACCACATCTTCTTTGTCCATTCATCTACTGACGGACACTTGGGTTGTTCTCACGTCTTAGCTACTGTGAATAATGCTGCAATGAACACAAGGGTGCACACGCCTGTTCAGGACAGTGATTTCATTTCCTTCAGATTTATACCCAGAAGTAGAATCGCTGGATCAGACGTGGTTCTATTTTTAATTTTTTGAGGAACCTCCATACTATTTTCCAGAGTGGCCGCGCCAGTCTACCTTCCCACCAACAGTGCACTTAGGCTCCCTTTCCTCCACATCCTTGACAACACCTGTTATTTCTTGTCTTTTTGATGATGATCATTCTAACAGGTGTGAGGTGATATCTCACCATGGTTTTAATTTGCATTTTCCTAATAATTACTGATGTTGAGCATCTTTTCATATACCTGTTGGCTATCTGAATATCTTTTTAGGAAAAGTACCAATTCAGGTTCTTTGCCCATTTTGAAATTGGAGTGTTTGCTTTTTTGCTATTGAGTTGTATGAGCTTCTTATTTATTTTGGATATTAACCCTTATCAGATGTGTGGTTTACAAATATATACTGCTTATTAATTTTAAAGATATACCTATCCTATGACACAGCACTCCAAGTCCTAGAGGATTTTTAGAAGCAGTTTATTAAAGCAAAAAAAAAAAAATAGTAACCAACTGTCAAATGGACAAATAAATTGTGGTATATTCATAGATTCGTGTAGTGGAATATTACACAACTGTGAATTGTGACAATAGTCACAATAATAACATGAATGAATCTTAGTGAGTTGCAGAATATACATATGATTCCATTTATTTAACATATAAAAATGAACAACTTAAATAATATATTGTTATTGATACAAAACTTGAAAGAAAATCAGAGGGATAAAGACCCACAAAATTCAGGATAATAGTTATTTTGGGGGGGCAGGAAGTGGGTGGGACTGGAGGGCAGCCGGGGAGTTTCCAAAATAACAGCAATAGTATATTTTATAAATCAGGTGACAGGCACGAAGATATTTGTTGTGCTGTGTTATACTGTTTGCATCTTAAACAGGTGCTCTGTGTATCTATGCTGTATTTAATAATGTTGAAGAATCAAATGTTCTCAATGATTTTTTTAAGTATTGGCAGCTTGGCAGACCATAAAACTCTTCTGCAACTATTTCTAAAGATTTTCATTTTTACAAATAATGTCTCCAAAATTAAGGATTTTGTTCTACCTTTTTGTTTCATATGTTCAATTTATTTTCAGCCAGTTATTCTTGTTCTAGCCTGTTTATGCTAGAAAAAAAAAGTAAAACAACCTGAATATAAAAAAATTATTTTATTATTTCTTTCATTAAGCTCATGCCTTTTTCTTTTTGTTGTTGTTACAAAAGCAATTAAAATCATGACTGAAAATCAGAAAATGTAGCCAAACAAATGTAGAAAAAAGCCAACACTCATAACCCACCATCCAGAGAGACAAGCACTCTGACCCTTCTGTGACGAGCCTTTCGGACCATTTTCCTCACTGGCTACGAGTCAGTGTAGTTATGGGAAGAGTGGTGTTCTGTTACACAGGTGTTATAATCTAACGTAATTCAATCTAATTCGAAGTGCACACAACTCTGCATTGCCCTCTCTCTTTTCCCTCCACACCCTAAGGGACTGCATCCTCTCCCCAGGGTGGGACACGGTGGAGCTGGGATGGAGAGTAGTTTGCGCCGTGTGGACGCCTGCGCTCTGACTCACTCGGTGGGGATGCAGCTGAGCCGCGGGCTCTGTCTGTGCCCAGGGCAGAGACAGGCAGGCAAGGGGGCTCATGCCCGGCGGTGCCACCCCAGCCTGCAGCCCTCTGTTCACACGAGAGCTCCCTCTGCTGTCTCTATCTTCCCAGCTAAGTGCTCTAGAAGACTCTATCCCCTCACCTTGTTCTTCTTCCTCGTTCATGGCCTGTATTGAAAGGAACCTCGTTCGTCTGAGAGCCAAAGTGTCTGTAACTTGAGCTCTCTAAGTACCACACTCGCCTTGAGGTGGAAAGACCCACTCTCGAAACATCATAATGGATGCCTGGAAATCTGCAGTGGCTAGAAGCATTTAAAATTTTAAGAACTTAACTGGCAACATTGTACATTTGTATCCTAGCAAGAATTCCCCAAGGAGGAAGTAAAAACATTGAAAAGAAAACATCCCAGCCTGGATTTGTCCTTTATAATGATGATCACAGAAGCTCCTGTTCGAGTCGAGGCTATCCCGGTGATGGAGGGGCCAAGCAGAGAAGAAACTGCAGACAGTGTGGGTTTCACATATTAAATCTCAGTAAAATTTGAGCCATCACATCACACCCGTGCATTTTTATAAACTCTCCCCCGGTACCATAAACAAGGTTGTAACTCATCCTGGTGGAGCAGGTCTTGGCTGTAAGAAGGCTCTACTATGGAAAGAGAGGGTGGTGGTTCCTGGGACACCCTGTCTTTTGAAGCTGGTGTGCCACTCCCTGCTGTCCACCCACCGAGTTACCGCACGCTGGGGACACCCCCTTCAGCTGGTTACCCAAGACGTCTCTCTTGAGACTCAAGGCAGGCGAGCTGGGGCAGTGCCAGGAGCAGGGACCAGGCAGCGTCGACACATCTTCACATCCTTCCAGGTACCAGCTCTCGGCTCCGGGCATACGGCTTAGCCTCTCTGAGTCTTATCTGGAAAAGAAAGATAGAACGTCCACCCTGCAGAAATGTTGTGAAGAGGAATAGGTTGATGTGCCAACATCACCTGGCACCCAAGGCTAGCTCATAGCTCAGTGGTTGTTCGCTGGGCCATGTATATACAGCCGGGGAAGAATCACCTAGGCTTTAACAAATAAATGACCATTTATTTTCACTGCAAGTGCTTTATGGATTTTAAAGCTACTAATCCATAGTTTCTTTTCCCAGCTTTAAGAGATGTTTTTAAATTATTGCTTTGCAGGGAAGTGTCTCCACACTTTGCATAATGCCCACGGCCTTCCGGCTCTTCCTTGAGGGGCGGACATAACCAGAACAGCCAGCGGTACCTCAGGGGGACAGGTGCCCGGCTCCTCACGCACGTCAGAGCTGGAGGCGGCCACGACGAGGCTTGGAGCCTTGGGGGTATTGGCAGCCGGGCGCCACGGGATGCTTCCGTGGGCTGCAGGTGACTTTCATCTCCTGGAAGGGGCTCTGAGGGGCTGCACTGGCCTTTAGTGACATGAACAAAGGTATCCCTTCATCCTTTAATCTCTTGCGTGCTTGCGATCTGGGTTAATTCCTAGATATTTTGTTGCTTTGATATTAAGGCGACTCTAAGATGCAGAAAATCTGAAATTGCAAGGAAGCCCTCAGGCCTCTCTTTCACGCTCGAGGAAGATGAATCCTTGAACTGCCGGTAGAAAAAAGCCAGAATTCCCCCAAATCTTAGGTAAAACACTAAGTCCTGTAACTGCGTAATCTCTGAGATCTGGCATCGCTTAATGGCCAATGTGCCAGTATTTTAGATTCTTCGATACCTAGAGCCCTTCCACCTACATCACATTACGTAATTGTAATAACCACATGAAATAAGTAATATTTCCCCAAATTTCATCAGTAAGAAACCAGAGGTTCTAATTCCAAGGTGAATTCTTTCCCCCCAGACTGCGTGTCACCCCACGCCTTGTTCATCCAGCCCCTCACCTGCCAGGCTGAGCACAAAACCATCATCTTGGGGAAGCTCACCCTGCATGCGCACACACCATGTCACAGCCCACAGCAAACTTGCTACGGGAAGGGTAAGTATAGCGAGAGTGAGCTAGTGATTGTCAAGGCAACACAGGGAGAGCAGAACCTCGATGCGTGGGTTCAAACCCCGTTCCCGCATTTCACTGAGTCAGCTGAGTGACCTCGAGCAAGTCACTTATCCCATGTTTTAATTTTCTTATCTGTAAAATGGAGAGATGGTGGAACTTGAGGGTCATGTAAATCAGTGCACATAAACCACTTAGATTAATGCTCGTTGTGGGGCTCAAACCCAGTTTGCTCACATCCCTAAATCGGCAAATCCATTTTCCATCTCAGGCCACATTTTCCATCTCAGGTCATTTTCCACCACTGCCGCCCAGACACGAAAGACAAACAGAAGATTGCCCACTCCGTCTGAAGTAGTATTCCATGCCCAGGAGGGATAGCCTTCGTTCTTCTTATTTTGTAGACCTTCAGACAATTCATGAACGTGCATTTTAAAGAGTGTCTCATACAGTTCAGAGCAGAGGCAGAAGAAGCATTTTCTATCAGGAATTCACCTCCCTTGAGCCTCACAGGGTTGCTGGCTCATGTCTGAAGACCTTTTGCACACACGGTGCAAACCTCAATCTCTTGAGCTCCTCAGCACAGACACCCACGTCCTGTAAAACCGAAGTTCCTCTCCATCTCAGCACAGAAGGATCAACCTGTAAGAGACACACCACCTACAGTTCTCCCAGGCACATGTGCTGGGAACTATGCTAGGAGGGGGGCCACGGTCCCTCGCCTCGCAGAGCCTGTGTGCTCTCCAGCATGGATGCCCCCACCACGTGTGGCTGGGTAAATTTAAAATTGAGTAAAATCAAACAAAAGTAAATCGACTTCCTTGGTTTTACGCCAGCCATACTTCAAGTGCTGGACAGATCTCCCATCTTCTGCCCTGTTGGCTGCAGAGGGGACAAGGACTCCCTCCCTGAACGCCCGGTCGGAAACACGAAAGGGGATTCTAGGCGGAGCTTCCTCTCTTCAGTTTCTTACCAGCCCTCTCCTTCTCCCAAATTCACCCACAGCGACTCAAGGGGAATGCGCAGGGCTTTGGGTCATAATCAAAGGAGCGATTTTGTAGCCTCACTAAGCAAAGGCTCTGATCTAATCTGGCTATTATTTCTATCCCGGATGGCTGAGAGATAGTCCTAACTTATCCTGAACTCTCTTGTACGTTAAGCAGAGCTAGTAAGGAAAACCGGCATAGTTTTTTATTAGTTTCATGATGTCGTTCACCTTTCTCCAAGCATGATGTGGGATCTGTGTAATTCAGGACATTTGATGTTGATGCTGAAGATGAAGATGGGAATTATGGGCTGAACGTCCGAAGATCTGAAAAGCTCAGAAGAAGATCAAAAGAACCACGCAGGGATGGGGCAGTTGGGGCTGAGCCAAAATGGCAGTGGGGCCTCTCCCAGAAACTAGAGCAGTCTGGCGTCTCGGGCATGGACATGGGCATCAGAGCCCCCTGCACAGTGGTCACTGGCCACAGAGGGCTCTAGGGCACTCAGAATGTACCACAGGGGGACTGAATTTTACACTGTATTTAATTTTAATTTAAAAACTCATACTTGATTCAGTTACTGAAAAACTTTAGGCATGACTGAAATAACTTGAATATGGAAATCTATTTTTTCAATTATACATTTAATGAAATCTAAATATAGTTTAAGTATTTCTGATGAAAATTTAGACTCCAAGTTGAGACGTGCTCTAAGAGTAAAATGCATACCACACTTAGAAGACTTAGTGCCAAACTGTGAACTATCACATTAATAATTTTTATATGGTTACATGTTGAAGTATTAAGTTTTTGATACATTGGGTTAAATCAAACACATTATTAAAATTGACTTCATCTTGGACTCTGAAAAACAAACTGAGGGTTCTAGAGGGGAGGGGGGTGGGAGGACGGGTTAGCCTGGTGGTGGGTATTGAGGAGGGCACATTCTGCATGGAGCACTGGGTGTTATGCACAAACAATGAATCATGGAACACTTCATCTAGAACTAATGATGTAATGTATGGGGATTAACATAAGAATAAAAAAATTAAAAAAAAATTGACTTCATCTGTTTCTTTTCACATTTATTATTGAAGTATAGCCGATGCACAATGTTACATTAGTCTCAGGGGTACAACAGCGTGAGTGCGTATCTCTGTACTTTATGTGGTGCTCACCGTAACTGTAGCTGCCATCTGTCACCAGACGGGGCTATTACAGCATCACCAGCTGTGTTCCATACGCTGTGCCCTTCCACCCCGGGACCTAGTCATTCCAGAACTAGAAGCCTGTACCTCCCACTCCCCTTCACCCATTTTGTCCCTCTTCCCACTCCCCTCTCCTCTGGCAGCCACCAGTTTGCCCTCTGTATTAATGGGTTTGTTTCTACTTTTGTTTTTTGTTTTTTAGGCTCTACATATAAGTGAAATCATATGGTATTTGTCTTTCTCCGTCTGACTTATTTCACTTAGCGTAATACCCTCTGGGTATGCACGGATGTTTCTTTGCACTTTTTAATGTAACTGCTAGAAGATTTAAAACCACATGTGGCTTATATTTCTATTGGACAGCACTTTTCTGGAGCACTTTCTTGAGCCATATGAGTTCAAACCGCCTTTCTACCAATTTCTAGCTGTGAGATGGGCTCAAATGTGCTTTTAGGACCTTTTGTGGAAATAGGTTAATCATAATGCCTGCTACAAAGAGTTGATATGAGATGTAAGTGAATTAACACCCATACTTAGAATAGTTCATGACATACAGTGTGCTTAGTACAGGGTAACTATTATTACTAATGGGTATAGTTGTCAGGATTGTAAGAGGACACTGGGAGGGGACTGTGAAATATCCTAAGAAAGAGTCTTTCTCTGTCTCTTATGAAAGCCTTGCATAAAGTGTCCATTTGGACCTGGGTGGCAAATGTCCCTGGCCTTGCTCCCTTAGTGTCCATCGAGCTGCACAATAGGACTGGGACAACATCCTCTCACGTGCTGTGGGTCATGACATTCTCTGTCTCCTGTATACTCTCCCAGAGACCCCAGAAGGCACAACTAATGAAAGCGTGTCCTGATATAATCTAGAAAGGGACATCAGACATAGTGTGGCACTAACCCAGGCGTGGGAAGTCACTTTGCCACTTAAACACTCGGCCACACAACCAGCCATAGATCTTGCAGGAAATCATCATTCTCTCTGGGTTATGTTTCCTCATAAACTAAATAGGGATAATAGAAAGTGCTATTATAAGGATTAAATAAGATAGTGGGATTGAGAGAGCTCCATAAACCACAGAGCATGATGCCAACATTGATACTCTTTTACTTTTAGAACCATTTCTGCTGGGTTAGCCTGTCTTTTAGATAAAATAGAGAGATGCTTCTGTGGGATTATTTCTAGGGATTCTAAAGACCTGCCTCTCTTCCAAGTTTCCCTCAAACTGGTCTGTGACAAAATGGTCAAGTCCTATGCCGTAAAAAGGTCCAATTTATTGGAAATAAAAATGAAAAAGATGCCCACTTTAGGGATAAACTAGTAAGTCATCGTCAGCTAGTAACAACTTGGATCTTTACAGCTAGCCAGTCACCTGGCAAGTCTTCGGGGTAAATAGAAAATAACGTAAGTTTTCATTCATTCTTTCACGCCTTCACTCAACAAATGTGTACTGGTGCTTATAGTGCAAGGCATTCTAGGCTCTTCTGCTACAGCAGGGAACAGAAACAACAAGGCCTACGGTCAACCTATGTCTCACTGAGAAGGCAAATTCAAGCAAAGACTTGAAGGAATTGATTATGCAGATCACCCATGGAAGAGTGTTCCAGAAACAGAAACCGCTCACGGGAAGGCTCTGGGGGCAGGAGCACACCCATGAGCTCAAGGGACAGTGGGGAGCTGACGGTGGCCACAGGAGAGCGAGCATGGGCGGTACGAGGTCAGAGAAGTACATCGGGGGAGGGGTGGGGGAAGAAGGGACATAGTGCAGCGTCCAAACTGGACCCACTTACGAGTAAAGCTGGGACATTAATAACACCACCGGGACAACAGCCATAAACGGGGATGATGGGTGGCCCTACTGAAAAGCTACAGTCCGGCCTCTGGCTTTTACTTTAAAGCGAAGGGGAAATCCCATGCAGAGCCATTTCTCCCTGTGCTCAGAAACCATCCCGGTGGTCAGAGGCTCCTCGGGAAGGTATGTGCAGACCGTGTGCCGGGGTCCTGGTGGCGTGGGCTGGGCAGACTCTGCCCGACATGCCTGGCGCGATGGCTCGCAGAGCAGGAGGGCGAACCCACCGGACCGCCAACGTCCAAGAAGAGAGTGCTCCTCAATCCTTCGAAGAGGAGCGGGAGGTTGGCCGCGGGTGGACCCAGGGAGTCTCGGCTTACAGCTCCCTCAGCGAGTTCTGCTGCTACTGCCCATTCATCCACCCAAAGAGCTACCTCAACGCAAGGAATATTAATTTTTTCATTATTAATTTATTTTTTCATTATTAATTTATAATGGTGATGCAATTCAGAAAAGGCAAACTTATCTTTTAACGTGAGAAACAAACAAAAAAATGTGTCAAGGGGTGATAAGATCAATGACAAAAACAAATGACGTGAAGTAAAATGACTGGACTTATAAATTAAACTCAGGTCACTGGAGCCGCCGCTCCTCTCGGGGCTCTGCCCACCTACCCCAAACAGACCTCCAAATACATGGACATCTGCTGGAGATTCCCCCATGGGGAAGAAGGAAGGAAACTGTATCGCAGAAGCTGTGAAGAAGAGAGAATTTCCAGACCCCACGGTGTTTGTCATCCCAGGACGGCAGTGACCTTGCTAAGTCATGGGACACGGCTGTGCAGTGACCGGCCCACAGGACAGAGGCTTCGGCGGTCACAGGACAAGGCAGTTCTCCCTTCAGTCTCTCCCTGATGTCTGAGCAGGTGGCTGAGACCAAGACCGTGGCCCTTCCTCCACAGGAAGGATGCCTTCAGGGTCAGCCTATGACACCTTCTCCAATGAGGGCTTTGGGAACAAGAGTCTGAGCTGCCAAAAACGTTCGGTCACCATTTATTCACAAAAGACCCCAACACTACAATCCAGACTCTTCCACTGTGCCCTTGGTACCAGGGTCTAAGGGCCTCGAAGTATCATTAAAAAAAAACAACGACGACTATGCAGAGTTCCTGACACAACCGTTCCCCACTTTCCGGTAAATTATTTATGAAGAGAAAGACAAATGTAAAACTTGGCGAGAAACAAACACAAACACACAACTCTTACACCACCAGTCAGCCCAGAGTGTGGGAGCCTGACTGAAACACCTCGATGAGAGCAGGCAGAAGCCCTAGTGTCCCCCACCCAAACCTACAAGCAAAATGTCTGGAAGACACTTTGTCCCTCCCCCAATTCCTGCCCCTTCAGATTCCAGAAGTGGGGTCTACACCACAGAGAAAACTGAAATCAAATCCTTCACGGCGTGTGGGTCGATATTTTAGCGGCCGAGATGTCATCTGTTCACATCCTCCTCCTTTCTACGTACGCTCAGGAATGGCCGTGTCCGGAAAGCAACGGGAGAATGTGGGGTGAGGGTGAGGGCGCCGGGTCCCAGCAGCGTCCCATCCCACACGTGGGGGTTACACACCCTCACCCTAACGCACGCAGATGGGGAGAGCCCGTCAGCACTCCAGCCACAGCCCTTGCTGGGCATTTTCCTGGGACCCAGCGTTCAGCATCTGTGACACACAGGACATCTGAAACCAGTACAATGTCATACGTCAATCACAGCTCAGCTTCAAAAATTAAAAAATAAAGTCAGTAGGACAAGACTGAGTTAGAAGCAGCCGCCCTAGCGAACACTAGGTCACAACGACAACCCCAGCCAGATGATGGAGGACTGACACATCCATCTGCTTTTTGACCTCAGATCAGACGTATGATTATTCTAACAGCAGAGTGGAGAGGGAGTGAGGACAAGGGCAGGCCACACCTCCTCCCGGGTTATAGAGCTCTTTTTTTTTTTTTTAAGATTTTATTTATTTATTTGACAGAGAGAGCGAGAGAGCACAAGCAGGGGGAACCGTAGAGGGAGAGGGAGAAGCAGGCTTCCCGCCGAGCAGGGAGCCCGACGCGGGGCTCGACCCCAGGACCCTGGGATCATGACCCGAGCCGAAGGCAGACGCTTAACGACTGAGCCACCCAGGCGCCCCCCCTTTTTTAACAAAATTAAAACCACCAGCACGAGGCCTAGTAAAATGCAGTTCTTCCTTGACTTACAGTGGTGTTACATCCTGAAAAACCCACTGGAAATTGAAAGCATCATCAGCTGAAATTGCATTTCCCGCACCTAACCTGCCGAACATCACAGCTCAGCCGTGCCTCCCTGACAAGCGCTCAGAATGCTTACAGGAGCCTGCGGTGGGGCAGAATCATCCACCACAAAGCCTGCTTCATAATAAAGTGTTGAATAGCTCATGTAACTTACTGAATGCTGTGCTGAAAGTGAAAAACGGAACGGTTGCACGGGGCCGGGATGGTGGTCAGCGCGTTGGTTGTTGACCCTGGTGACCCCACGGCTGCTTGGGAGCCACGGCCCCTGCCCACAGCCCAGCATCACGAGAGGGGGTCTCCGGCACATCAGTAACCTGGGAAAAGACCCCAATTCAAGACTCAAGGCACAGTTTCCCCTGTGCAATGCTTCTGCACCATCATGACGTCAAAAAAGAATTGTAAGTCAAACCACTGTAAGTTGGGGACCGCCTGCACATGGCAAGAGGGAACTTGTCCAGTTTTGGAACGGGCCAGCGGTGGCGGCTAGACGTTAAGAGTATACGACATGCCGTAGAATTATTCACTGTAAAATGGTTAATTTTATAGCGTGTGAATTTCACCTCGATTTACAAATGAGAAAGAACTTGTTGCTAAATATTCAGACAAAAAGGCTGCACCAGGAAGCAACTTAATTGGACTTTAAGAAAATGACATGTGCCCGCAGATGTGGGAAACAGGGATCAAGGGAGATATATGAATATTGTTCCTAGGAAAGGGTTTTTAAAGAGAGGGACACAAACCTAGACCGGAAAGTATAATATGAAAACAAATAGTAACACCAAATCCAAATATATCAATTATTCCCATACATATACACTGAACCTGCCAGCTAAATGAGAATGTCAGAGTGGATTGCAACACAATGCAGCTCTGAGGCTGTTTGCAAAAAGACACACCTAATGCATGAAAGCACTGAACCGTGGGGAAGGCAGAGAATGGGAAGAGATCCATCAGCCCAGTAACAACCAGACACAGCCAGTCTGGCCACGTTAATGTCAGCCACAGAAGACTTTAAGGCAAATAGCTTCATTAAAGACAGAGTTTCTGCGCGATGATTAAAGTTACCAAAGCAATATAACCATTCTAAACACGGATGCACGTTATTAAATAGACTCTGGATCTACACCGAAAGTGATGGACCTGCAGGAATAAACCGATAAATCACTGTGAAAGTGGGAGAATATAGCATACTGCTTTCCATAAATTATACTTCAAACAGCCACAAGCATTCAGCCAAGATACAGGAGAGTCGAATGACACAATTAACAACTTTCATCTGACGGCACATTCAGAAATATTTATTATATTTTCAATAGGGCTTTAAAGATGTCTCAGCAAATTTTAAAGGAAAGTTATCACATGAATCTAATTCGTTCCCCAAACTCTAGGGATTCAGCTGTGACTGTGGCAAAAAATGGGGTCCAATCTTAAGTGGACTGAAGTAAAATTTCTGCCATCGAATAGACTACAAAAAATGGAAATGAAAATGTGTAATAGAAAGCATTTAAAAAGTCATACTTCTTCGGGCTCCCAGCTCGGCAGGGAGTCTGCTTCTCCCTGTGCCCCTTCCCACCCTGTTCGTTCTCTCTCTCTCTCTCTCTCAAATAAATAAATAAAATCTTTTAAAAAATAAAATAAAAAATAAAAAGACATACTTCTTGCCTATCTGAGTTTGTGAAGTGAGAGTTCATCTGCTAGGTATTTTTTTAATTGCGGGAATAATGCGGAATACAGTTTTGTGCTCTGACGTTAACCTTATAATAATTTTGTCACGTCACTGTTGTCTTTTTCCTAGGAACTGCTCCCCAGCCCTTAAGCTTCTCCCTCCTTCAGCCAGAAATCAAAAGCCTCTAAATATAAACTCATGTCAATAAGACACCTGCAGACCAAGACACCCAGAAAAATCAGAATTCCTTTTAGGCTCCATCTGGGTCAACCCCCTACACAGCATATTCTAATTCCCACCTCAGCCAAATGCATTTCCTTTGTTAAGGTCTCTGTTATGGTAAAATAAAAGGTGACATCTATCCCCCCCAGTCAACTGAAGGTTTAAAGTCAGACTACCCACGGCTTTTCCTTTTCTGGAATATAGTCAATACCAGATCTTCCTCCCACCACACAAACCTGTAACTAATTTTCTGATCAGCAACTGGCTTCCCAGAGCTTTTTCCAGAAAACTGCGCACAGGCCTTAACTCACTTGGATCTTGTTCTGTGGCAGACTAGTCCTTGAGCCAAAGCTTCAGGACTATTTGTCTTGGTAGGGTGGAAAAACATACTAGGTAAAGCTGTGCATTTATTAGCAATGGGACATGATAAAAAGAAGGCTTTGAAAGACAAGGACAAGGCACCACCTGCTCGCTTCCCTTGCAAACTTGGCCCTCCTGCAGGGTCACTGAGTGCTAAGCCCCAGAAGAAAGGGTCTCTGGTTAACGAAGGGCTTTAGGGTTCCTCCCATCAAGTTCTTAGCCTTCTGTTCCCTTTTTCACTCAAGCTTTTCTCCTATTAACTTGAGACCTCAGCCAAAGATATTTTAGGTATAGGGAAATGAAAACAAAGAGCTCTTGCTTCATCTCCTTTCCCCATTTTCAAGGGAGTTCATGCTTAGAGTCGTGGTTTTCAAAGTGTGGTCCCTGGACCAGCAATGTCAGCCTCACCTAGAAACTTACCAGAAATGCAACATCCCAGACCAAATAAATCCAAAGCTCCTGGCCGCAGCAAGCTGTCACCATTTGTAAGGTTTGAAAACCACCACTGAGAACATTCCAGTCTGTCTGCCGTGTGAGCCAATGCATCCCTGTAGCTTCGAGTGAGGTCCAGGTTGCAGTCGTGGTTACCCGTGTAGCCAGGCAGAGTGGTGAGTGAGCTGGGAAGCCCCACCAGAGAAACGGGGCAGTGAAGTGGCTGGTAACACCAGTTACCACATTAGTACAACGCTGAGGTCTTCGAGCTGGCATGCGCAGGTCCACTAGGAAATCGAGATGATTTCCCAGCCCTAAGGCAGGGGCACATAGAGCCTTGATTCTCCTGGAACCACCCCCTCAACACACCAAAGGTACGAGATGATCTGACAGACCGTATTAGAAATAGTAAATTCATGCTAGTAGCTCACCAGGCTGATGTCCAGCAGAAATATAAGACCTACAAATGGGCTCTACAAATTGTGTGTGTGTTAAGCTGAAGGCCAAGAGTCAAGAGGCCGTGAAGAGAGGGGATCACAGACCAGATCAGACCCTGAAGGCATCAGGAAAGGACATGTTCTGGAGCAAAGGTGAAATTAACCTTAAAGAAGAGAAACGCCTTGTCCAATGAGGCAGAATAGGTTGGAATACGGGAAAAATATTAACACATCAAAGTCAAGTACATGCATCTATAATATATATATAATGTTATTCTTTCTAAAACTAAGAAGCACCAGGCCATCAAGTAAGATATGGTTTCTCCAGAGGGGCCATAAGTCAAGTAAAGTGTGATTATTGATCTCTCTCCCTAATCAATGGATGGTTCTTTGTAAAGAGAAAAAGATTCAGGATGCAGAAGGCCAAGAGCAACCGTTCAAGCTCAGAATCCCTGAAATGAAATGGCCCAGAAGCAGGGACGAGAAAACAAATCACGGCCACACTTACCTCGTGCACCTCGGGATGAGGGCAACATTTTGGGCACAGATCTGAATTTCACACCCTCCCCGCTGCCATATCTTGCTTTGTTTTGTTTCTAGCTTTTTTTATTATGAAAAATTTCAAATATAAATTTGACAGAATAAGATACTTGTATACCCAACACTTAGACTCAAGAAATGTTAACATTATTCCTTAATTGCAAACATTATATGGATATGTGTTTACCTGTATAAATTTATTGCTGAACCACTTGAAACTGGGTTAGATCTCATGATATTTAGCCACTAAACACTTTAGCCTGCATCTCCTATAATAAGAAAAAAAACCTCCAAATAGCCTTGATACCTCTATCATGTCTAGGAATATTATCAAAAATACCCTGTTAGCTCCCAATGTCCACATTGGAGTCAGATTTCCCAAACTGAGCAACCGGCACTTTCCCAGTTTTTTTTCAACTGATATGACCTAGAATCGTATCAGGGAGTAAGCGCAACGTTTGTTTTATACCTTTTGTCACTTTGAAACCAGAACAGCCCCCCACACAGGTGGCTGTTTGATCCCCATGGACTGACACTTTGAGGCGTCTCGGACAATCGCCTTATAAAGTTATCACGTTCCTCGTGTGCTGGTTCTCGGGCTGGTGTTCGCGGGACTCCCGAGTCTCCTGTACGTGCTCTGGACTGAAGCCCTGCGTAAACACCGATGAACATTTTAGGCAAACCGTTGCAAAGAGAGTGCTAACACTTACATTGACTCAGCAGGGGGCGGGCGGCGCAAGCCGTGGGGCCGACTTGACATTAGCACTCTCTGTTTCAAAGGTACCCTTAACCCTTGGCAAAGAGCAAGGAGTCCGTAGGGTGATACTGAGGCCCCATCCAAGCACTCTGTTCCTAACCACCTTCCGCCCACAGGGTTGGCTGGTGCCATCTCCCGCGGGACTCACGAGGGCTCCTTCGTTGAGAGGCAGCTGTTCACCAACACGCCATTTTCTTCTTCCCTCTGGGTCCTGGATGGGTGTATCAGTCAGCTCCAGCTTCGTAACAAACAGCCCCAAATCATGGTGGCTTATCGCAACAAACACTGCTTGCTCCCAGAGCTGTGATTTGGTGCTGGCTCAGCTGCAGCTGTGTTGGGTGTGGCTCCAGGTGATGGGTCAGGGTCACCAGGCGTCCAAACGAGGAAGCCATGGCCCCCGGGGGCCTGCTCTCCTTCCGCGGGATGAGCTGAGTGCGAAGGAGAAAGGGAAAGTGGTACGTGCCTCCCAGAGCCTCTGCTTTGGGCCAGCATGCCGTCACTGACCCCCACCCTCATCAGCCACAGCAAGTCACACAGTCAGCCCCTCTGCTCCTGGGGCAGAGGAGAGGAGGTTATTTCCTACAAAAGTTACCGAATCTGCCATCATGGGATTGAACTTTCCACTCTCCTGAATTTGGACACGGCCGTGTAACTTGCTTGGGCCAATGAAATATGAGCAGGCGTGTTGATGTACTTTCCAGCACCTTCCTTCCACTTCCTCAGAGACCAGCAGCATCCTAAATGACCGAGTCCCTGTGGAGGATGATGCGGATCAGAACACCTGCAAACCCAAGAGTGATACATAGTGAAGGTGAGAGACTTTAAGGTTGTTCATTACTGCAGCATAAAACCTACCTATCCAGACGAATAATAAACAAGGTAAAGCTTACTTATTTCCTCTTAACTACGAATTTTCAGAGTAAGAGTTGTGTACTAAGTTGTGTACTAAGAATCCCCATGGTAGCAAAGACACTTTTATTTCCCCTTTCTCTTGTTTTTCCTTTTCTCTTACTTTTTTTTTTATCATTAAAGGCTGACATTTTTATTCATACGATCAATCACAAACCTTCTTCTTTTTGATGCTCATATTGTCCCAAATTTGGCTGGTGAGAGCCCTTCATCTGGGTTCTTTTGACAGGACCCAGTCAGTCTTTGGCATTTCCTCTCATTCTGATACTGTGAGAGATCTTAAGCTCGCCTTCAATATCCCTTGCCTTAAACCTAGAACTCGCCATTCCTCGAAGGAGTCCTGATTCTTCTAGTGAGAATGGTATTTTAGAAGACAGCACCTGAAGGTCAGGTGTGTTCATTGCTCCTGGACATAATGGATTCCAAGCCCTTTCACTGGACAGAGCAAACTCCTGCATTTTCTCTCTCTGTCCCTTCTCCCCACCTCCCCCATATGTATGGATGCATAATATAGATTAACAGTTCACATGGATTAGGTTGTATATAATACTGCTATAGTTTATATGGATTATGTGCAGATTGTATTACATTAACTTTGTGCTTGTATTGATAGTAACTCAGATTTGATATTATAGCCCCCCCCCCCCATTAAACTTCTTTGTTTCCATATTTTCTCTTTTCTCATATAATGAAAACCTTGAACAATGCGCCTGGTGGTCCTGTGGATCTGTCTCTCGCTTCAGCAGTGTATGGATGGATGGAACAGACACAGGGATGCCCTTTCTACCAGCCTTCAACCACAACCTTTCTTCCAGTCCCAACCTTCAGAGCCATCTCCTTGGCCACAATCTGCCTTCGGGACCAGCCAACACCCTATTTGGAGCTTAGCAACTTATTACCAATCCACCATGAGCTCCCAGATTCACCAGAATTATTCCACCAAGGTGGAGGCCGCCATCAACCACCTGGTCAACATGCATCTGTGAGCATCCTACACCTACCTCTCTCTGGGCTTCTATTTCCACCAGGAGGGTGTGGCTCTGGAGGGTCTTGGCCACTTCTGTGAGTTGGCTGAGGAGAAGTGTGAGGGTGCTGAATATCTCTTAAAGATGCAAAACCAGTGCAGCGGCCACGCCCTCTTCGCACGCTTGCGCACAAACCATCCTAGGATGAGGGGGGTGAAACCGTGGACACCATGGAAGCCGCCCTGTCTCTGGAGCAGAGCCTGAACCAGACCCTTCTGGAGCTGCATGCCCTGGGTTCTGCCCACGCAGACCCCACCTCTGTGACTTCCTGGAGCCACTTCCTAGATGAGGAGGTGAAATTCATCAAGATGGTGGTGACCATCAGAGAAAGACATGTATCGTATGACCTCACTGATATGAGGAATTCTTAATCTCAGGAAACAAACTGAGGGTTGCTGGAATTGGGGTTGGGGTGGGAGGGATGGGGTGGCTGGGTGATAGACACTGGGGAGGGTATGTGCTATGGTGAGTGCTGTGATGTACATTCTTTCCATCTTCCCTGGGATCCTGGCCCCACCCTGCTGGCAATTATCCACATGCTAGTGCAAGCTTGGAGGTCTGGCTCAAGAGTTACAACAATGTATACCATGTATGGACTCCAGTTAATAGTGCGGGATTGTATATTTGAAAGCACTAAGAGAGTAGATCTTAAAAGTTTTCATCACAAGAAAAAATATTTGTTTTGGTTTGTCTCCCTCTCTGGTTTCGTCTTGTTTCATTTTTCCCTCCCTTCCCCTATGATCCTCTGTCTTGTTTCTCAAATTCCACCCCTCTCCCAAGCTGTGGACCAAATGGAAACAATAAAACTTTTGGCAGAATCCCTGGAGACAAGGTGAAGGTAAAGAGCTGCCTCTCAGGAGGAAAGATAGGAACCTGGCTGTGGCTGATGGAGGCAAAGGCTAGTTATGGACAGCCAGTGCTGGGCACATGCTCTGCGCCAGAACCTTAAAGCCTCTGAGGGCACAGCACTTGCAACAACACAGGTGGACCTTGAAGGTATTAGGCTAAGTGAAATAAGTCTGATGGAGAACACAAATACCATATGATTTCATTTACATGTAGAATCTAAAAAACGAAAAAAATGAATAAACAAGGAAAAAGCAGAATCAGATAGAGGGCAAGCTGATGGTTGCCAGAGAGGGGGTGAAGTGATGGGCAAAACGGTGGAGGGGAGTGGGAGGTCCAGGTTTCCAGTACCTACTCTCTGAGGTAGGTCATATGATTATCCCCATGACTGATGGGAAAACTGAAGTAACTTGCCCCAAGTCCCAGAGACAGTAAGTGGCCGAGTCAGGATTCCAACCAGAGTCTTGTCAGAATCCAGCACCTCAAGCTCTTCCCCCAAGAACCATGTGTTTGGCGGCGGTGGAAAAGTTAAAGTCTTATTCAACAGGTGGGATTCTCTATTTCCTGTACAAATGAGTGATAGGAGCTGTTGAGGAAGCCCTCACGTCCCGTTTCCCATTCCAGTTAAGCCACTTAATCAGCTACGTGACCGTAGAGGGGTTCTCTTGCTTAGAAACCAGGCGTACCAAACTCTACCACTCAAGTTACAAGTTAAGCCACTTAATCGCCTACGTGACTGTGGAGGGGTTTTCTTGCTTAGAAACCAGGCTTACCAAACTCTACCATTCAAGTTACAAGTTAAGCCACTTAATCGCCTACGTGACTGTGGAGGGGTTTTCTTGCTTAGAAACCAGGCTTACCAAACTCTACCATTCAAGTTACAAGTTAAGCCACTTAATCGCCTACGTGACTGTGGAGGGGTTTTCTTGCTTAGAAACCAGGCTTACCAAACTCTACCATTCAAGTTACAAGTTAAGCCACTTAATCGCCTACGTGACTGTGGAGGGGTTTTCTTGCTTAGAAACTTGATATTGTGAGTGTACCTGTGAGCACAATCCACCTAAGTGGGGAAATTATGAGATCTCAGGGACAAGTTTGGTGTGCTTTAGTAAGCGGCTATTTTTGTTTGGTCTTCTTTTCTAGATTTTTATTTATTTGCCATGTATGGGTGACTTCAGCCTCTTCAACGCTTGGGCTCTTGGTTTCTCTTCTATCCAAGTATTTAAAACGTGGGCTCCAGGCACACAGCAGGACTTTAGGTGGGAACAACTCTCTGGTCTTCCGGGGCCAGTTTGATAAACCAGGTAATGACCTTAGGGTACTCCACCAACAAATCCTACATTTCAAAAGTATCTGCCAAATGGAACGTAAGAAATGAAAAAGAAACAAATTCCCAGGGTATAAAGTGGTGACAAACCCTCTTCCCCTCGGCTCTCAACATGAAGTCCCACCGTGGAAACTTACGGTCTTTACTGCCACCCTAAGAGCTTAGACCAGGTGCCCGCCAATGTCCATCCCTGGCTCCCATCCAACTCCTGGGCTATGGCCATGTAGTCAAGTCATGCAGAGGGAAAGAAGTGAATGGGTGAATAAAGGAATTCATGAATGAAACAACCATTGTTGCCCTGTTCCCTCTGCTCTCTGTTGCGGTCATTATTCATCCGAGGACATGACAGCAGGGAGGGTAGAAAGAATCCGAGGAGAGAAGGGAGAGGACAAGCTCAACAGAAATGTCTAGCCGATCCCACTTACAGAGAACAGAAGAGTCTGGCAAGGTTTGAGAAGATCAGTGGCCATATTAATCCATGTCATAATAGCTGCTGCCCCAGAAGACCCCAAATCCCACTGGAACGTGGGCTTGTTGCTCACATTCCAGTCTCGTGTAAGTGTTCCCAACCGGGCAGCTCTCCTTCAAGCAGTGACACAGATGACCCAGAGGCCCCATTTCCTTCCATTTTTGTGACCATTTCATCTTCAAGACTCGGTTTCCAGCATCGCTGCTGACATCAATATCTAGTAAGCAGACAAGAAAACAGGAAGCGGACAAAATGCTTTTTAACCACCTCAGCCTGTAAGAGACACACATCAATCTACTCACCAGCCCCATCCAGATGCAAGGCGATCAGGAAAGGTGGCCCTTGGAAGGGGAGCATGAATTTTTGGTGGAAACTTATCAGTCTACATCATCATAGCCTCAAGAGGGTTTGTCAGGGTCCTGTTCTAAGAATACGTGTTTGGGGAAACATGGCACCAGGGAGGAAGGCAAAGGAAGAAAGGTCACAGGCTGCCATCTCTCAAACACCCTATGTCTGGGCAGAACAAATCAGCATCCATCACAACTGTGAAGCCAGGTGCAGGAGACCTTTCCTCTCTTCCTGAATGCCTTGCTCCCCTCCGGTGTTCTCCTGGCAGGCATTTGCTGCTTTCATGGTGACCCCGAGCTCTCGGATGCCTCCAGAGGTAACCCTGCTGTTCTCCCTGAAGACACAGCTAGGGGACCAGCTAATCAGGAACGAGGATGCCCACAGGTGAATTGGGTCCCATCCTTGATACATTTGGTTTTAATGTTTCTTATTTTCATAACCTGAGGACTGTAGAGACTTTGGATCCCTCTGAAATGATTTAATCATGTTGTCACAGTCTGATTCAGCAGAAATTTGAGAGGCAGGTCGTCCCTGGGATACCGGTCAATCCCAGTACACAGCCAGCCATGTATGAGTAAAGGCAACCCACTACTGAAACACTAATAAATAGGAATTAAATATAGAAACTAATAATATCTCTTTCATAATCATAGTTCTTAATACTTTATAAAGCCCTTTAGTATCCATGTACAAATCCAAACAATGGAATGAAATAGGAAAAAAACCCAGATAGTCTCCATTTCATTGATGAGGAAACAGACTCAGATGAGCTGGAGGTCTCAGCTGGGAAGGAGTCGGCTGAGACAAAAGCCAAGATACTTTAACTCTTGGTTCAGGGCTCTTGCAGAATGCTGGGGAAATGGGTCTTTCCTGGAAGGGCCACTATTTCTAGGGTATTTAGAAATCTGTCTTTCATATTATCTTCTAGCAAAGAGTAGCCTGTTCACCTGTGTTCCCACCTGGGCTAGCACATGAGCTCCCTTCCTCAGTTTCTCTTGGACACGTATTATCTCTCAGCTCATGTTTGAATTTTTCTCCTTCTCTGCCTTGAATATTTTCTGATGATCTGGGGGAGAAAATGGTTTGTATTTTGATTAAAGTTACAAGGCTGGTACTCCTGCATTTACTTCTCAATCCACAGAGAGCTTCCCACAGCTCCTGCTGTCTTCCTCCCCACCCCCGCCAACCAATGCCCCACCACAATGATGCCCTCCTTCTCTCTCTCTCTCTCTGTTTTTTACCCTGATAACTAATAGAAGGAGCACTAAACCAATGGTGTTGGAACGCGGCAGGAAGGTGAGTGAAGGACTGTGACCGGACACGGTTGAAAGAGGACTGCAGCTAGGACCACAAGAAGGGAGCACATTCCTTCTCAAGTCCCCACACAAATCCGGTCGGCCACACAACAGGGCATGCGTGTACGTGCTCAGGAGAGACTCTGCCTCATTCACGCCGCTTCCCCAGATTCTCACCTGTGCTCTGGACACTCTGTTCTTCCTTTCCCTTCCCTCGTTCATGCTCTTCTCCAGAAACTATTTCCTAAGTAGTCATGCTTGCTCCTGCTGTTTCTGCTCATGGCTTCCTCTCAGAATTTACCACATTGAGATTCTAGCAGTGTTTTCTCTGATATTTCGTGGCTCTAAAGTTGAAGGCATCCTCGTAGGACTGGGGTTAGCAAGCTACAGGCCAAATCCAGCCTGTGGTCCAGCTTTGTAAGGATCCCAAGCTAAGAACGGTGTTTGTATTTTCTAAAGGATTGTAAATCCACTCAAAGATTTATGTTCCACAGAGACAGAAGGGCCCACAAAACCTAAAACATTCACTCTCTGACCCTCTGCCGGAAACGTTTGCCAGGCCCTGTTCTAGACCCCACAAAACCTCTGGTGTCTTGTCTATTGCTATCCTCAGAAAACTTTGTTATTTTCGGAGATTCTCTCCCTAATTTGAAAGCAGAGGATCCAGGATTCCAGGGCAACCAGTTGCCCATAGGAGCTGGAAACAAAAGCCCCTCATATTTGTCTTCCTGTGGCATGACCATTATGAGAAGAGTTTAGGATTTCTTTTCATTTCAACTTACTGTCTGGGGGTTGGCCCTAGAGAACAACTCCACAGATCATGGCCTTGACATTCCCAACATCTGCGGGGTCCACCGGAGAACCAGGGGAGGTGGCCCTGGTGTGGGAGGCGGCAGGAAGGTTGTGCAGGGAGGGGGGTGATCTGAATCACTTTTCCCCCTGGTGCCTCCCACGTGGTGGCAACAGGATGTCCCGAGCCTCACCAGGAGGGAGACCAATGTTCCGATTTTCCCCTCATTTGAGTGATATGGCCTCGCTCTGCCCCGACCCCCTATCAGCAGGCTGAGGTGTCCTTGGACAAGGGAAGGGCCTGAGAGGCCGTGACGGCAGTGTCCCCAGGGATCGGGACATCGGCAGGTTGGGTATGCTGCTAAGCCTGACTGCTTCTCCAAGACAATCGTCAGAGCTAGGGGACGAGTGTCTGAGTTTGCTCATCCCAGGAAAGCCTCTGCTAAGAGCCCCGAGTGTTGGGGGGGAATATGCTCTCTGCCAGGACGCAAGCAAAATCACGCAGGACCCACAAGACACCGAAGCAAGATCTACAGACAAGACCTACCTATTGTAGGCACATGCGAGCTACGGGGCCGACTAAACCCACAGGCGGCACGACTTGACTTAGGAGACCGATATAAACACAAAGACAATAATAACGTCAAGGGAGACAGACCCTGTGTGGTCTGGAACGCTGCTCTTCCTAGAATGGATGAGGTCCGCACAGTGATTTTCCCTGTTACATGAGTGCTTATGTGAACGGTGACTTTTTCATCTAAAGCCCTTGTTGAGGGTCACAGGGTGAGAAAGGACCAGAGACAGAAGAGCGGGGCAGATACCGGGAGAAAGAGCCCAGGTGAAATTAGACGGCGGGGACACCTTGCTTCGGCCACCTAGAAGCCAGTGACCCCCCGAACCTCAGTTTTCTCATCCCCGAAGTTAGCACAATCCCTGCTCTTCAGGAGCCTTGTGAGGATTAGAGGCTCTTTTTCTAATGTGACTGGCTCGGGGCTGAGCCTCTGGGGAAAGGGAGGGTGTGTAGGTGCCAGCCCGGTGTTCCAGGAAGACGGCGGCCAGAGCGTCAGGACAGCGCAACGTCCGGCGGTGATCCCACACTTCTGTGTCCGTGCGGGATAAGAGATTCTCACAGCAGTCCCACGGGGACTCTGGGAGCTCCCAGCTGCAGAAGCCTTCCACTCTGGTTCAGGAATTATGGCCAAACGTGTGCAAGTCAACCTCCTCCCGTCCATGGCTTGACAGGCATTCCAGACTCCCCAGCGCCCTCTGCCTTTTCTGCCTCTAACCTCACATCTCCTGATTTTGGACATTCTTAGCCTCCGGGAAGCCCCCCAGACACCTCCATGTGGTAAGAGATACTCCTGTCCGAGAACAGGAGTGAGTGAAGGAAGAAATGGAACGAGGAAAATGCGCTGCCAGAGCCTCACTGGCCTGGAGTGTCCCCCCATTCCTGCAGCATGGCTGTCTCTGCGAGGGTGACCAGGCAGGAGCTCTGTTTCCACATTTGCAAAGTCTCTGGGATTACCGGTTATGAAAATGCAATCCAAAATTGGGAGAATCACTTTGAAAGCAATGAAGCATACCCTGGTGATAGGACTATCAACTAAGATTCGGCAATTTCATTCCCAAGTATATAATCCGAAAAACGTGGAAATAGGGTGGAAATAAACTACATGTCCATCGAAGGCAGGATATATTAATAAACTGTCGCATCTTCCTACCATGGAGCAGTATCTATTGATGAATGTAAGTTAACTGTTGTGCCTCTAAAAGCATGGAAAAATCTCAGAAAATATAGTCATGAGGGAACAAAAAGAATATATGTCCATTTATAAGAAGTTTAAAAATAAGCAAAACTAGCTAACATATTATTTCAGGATAGCTGCATTTGAGATCTAAGCATACAGAAAGCTAAGGGGGTGAGGGTCGCCCATAGGTGCTGGGGGCGAAAACCCAAGAATTGTCAAAGGAACAGGCAGTGTCCTCATTTTCAGCTGACTGGCTGAGACTTGAGTGTTTATTTTATGATTGTAATTACATGCTTTAAACTGTGTATATAATTTATATACATCGTTGGGTATGAATAATTTATTTCACAATAAAGAATTAATGTAACTCAGATGAGCACGGGCCCCTTGGGCAGCCCCCACTCTCGTGCACGCTGTCCTGAGCCCAGCAAGGGCGCCCGAGTGGCCCGGGGAGTCGCAGCAACTGGACTAAAAGTCTGTAGGGTGGAAATGAGTGTCACTTTTTGTGCAGGGCACGGCAAAGCTGTGCACCTCCATCCCTCCTTTTCTCTACAATGCCTAATGTGCTCTTTCTCCAACACCTGTCTCCTCTGAACCTTCAAGAAACCCCTCTGTCAACGTGATGATCAGATCAATTCTCCCACTTCACACGGCCCGCCGCCCTGCCGGCCATTGCCCCCAAAGCATGATATGCTGACCGGGTGCTGACACAGAATTTTATTTTATTTATTTATTTATTTATTTAAAGATTTGATTTATTTATTTGAGAGAGAGAGTGAGAGAGAGCACATGAGAGGGGGGAGGGTCAGAGGGAGAAGCAGACTCCCTGCCGAGCAGGGAGCCCGATGCGGGACTCGATCCCGGGACTCCAGGATCGTGACCTGAGCCGAAGGCAGTCGCTTAACCAACTGAGCCACCCAGGCGCCCTGACACAGAATTTTAAATCTCATCAAACAACAACAACAACAACACAAACCCAAACAGTAATTATCACAACCAACAACTTTCAGAAAACAAAAAGCACAGATGAACAGATG